AAAAAATAATATTATTTTTGACTCACATTTCGGCGAACAATGAATTCATTGACAAAACAAAAGACGAGATAAATGACGGCAAACGAGAAGAAATAAATGGCCACCACTTTAGGTGTCGGTGCGATGGCTATGGATACGATCATAAAGAGGGCGGCGATGACCCCGCTCAAGTTGAAGCCTATGGTGACGGCGTTGGTGTAGCGCACCGGGAGTTTGGCGGCGATCCCGTACACACAGCCCTGGAATAAGCCGTTCGCTATGTTTATGACAAACGCCGATAACATAGTTATCCAGAAGAATATCTCCGGCCATTCACTCGAGTCGATCACCGCTAAAACGGTGGTCCCTATGAATACGAGCGCCTGCAGTAGTAGTGATAACCAGATCCGAGTGGACAGGGATTTGTAGCTATATTTTGCATGGATTTAGGGTTAGGTTTTATCGATATATGTTGTGATAATGGACTAACTCTGAGCCGAAGAACATGTTAATGAATTGAAACAAAATGTTTGGCACTTTCGATGCGATTCCCAGATATGAGAGAAAGTTTTTGCGATAGTTTTCCAATGTGTCCGACATATGAGCGACAGATTTGAGTTTATAGTCAACGAAATACTGTATTAAATGATTATTTAATATTAAATGATTTAAATATTATTTTGTTAATTATATAAATATAAATTAAAACAATAGTTTGTGATAATGCATAAAGTTGTGGAAAATTAGTAAAATATATTTCATAACATACAGAGTCGGCATTGATTAGCATATTCCAGGCTAAGAGTGCTCCGATACCATGGAGGAACAGTATTATGTATACGATATGATAGCTATTTTAATTTAATTGCAAATAATTAGTTAGAATTAAATATATTTTAAGATCTATCTATTACTTACTTATCATTTGGTGCCATAATTAGATTTTATTTTTAATTAAACTAATTTACAGTTAATTTAACAAACAGTAATACGAAACACATTAATAAAAATTAAAATAATACTTTTTAAAATCAAATTACATTTTTGTAATATTAATACAACGTTAGTATTGCTGATACACGTATTAAATAAATATAAAAAAGTATTGTTTGTTTTATGAGCTAGTTTATAAAAAATTATTCAATGTACTTCCCGTGTGATTACGAAACTATAAGAAATACATTTTTCTCATATTTAATAAAACAATAGTTTGTCATTTAAACAATAAATAATATCTAAAATAGTAGTTAATAATTTTTTTAACATACAACTTGTTAAATACATTTTACAATAAATTCAAGCGAAATATTATATTCAAGTGAAAAATGAGGTCATATTACAGTTAAGGGAAACCGTTGAATAAATACCATTGAATTAAATGTTTAAAAAATTGCTATTTTATTATCATTTCTCATATTAGCTGTCAATACGTAACAAATCAAACATTTATTTTACTGGAATAGTACTGAATGTCAATATAAACAATGAATTTCTTGAAAACATTTTTATAACATAACAATAAACATAAGAAAAATAAAACAAACAATTGTAAAAACTTTGGGAATTTCTAGGACTCATAACATTGATTATTTACCACATTTATTGGTAGTAAATTAAATATTACAAAATTGTTTGCTTAATAAAAATACATAATAATTATTAACAAAAAATTAAATAAAGTTTTAATTAAAAATCTATTTTGATAACCAAAGGGTAAGCTAATGAAAAACAAAAGCCTAATATAATGCCAAATAGTATGGAAAACGGAGCCATCATTCCGGCTATGGATGCATACGTGGGCTCAACACTAGTGGGACAATACATGATGAAAGTGCTGGACAGGTATCCCGATGTGATGGCCATTAGTATTGATCCAAATATATAAATCCAATCATTTTGTATAATGACAGACATTTGTCTATCATTTGGATAATAATT